AACCCCTGGCCCTTATGCCTGCTTGCAGGTGCTTTAATCCACTGAGCTATTTGGCTGGCCCTTTCTTGAAATATTTTGAAGCCACTAGAAAGAACTGTTAAGTCTGTGCTCGTCCTGGAGATATTTCCACAACAGATTAGAAGAACGGCTTTTTATAGAAGAGTATGTAGTAATACTTCATTTAATAAACAATCAGTGATTTGAAGTCATAAATATGAAGTTAGTTATATATGGAGAATGTTGTGGAAGAATGTACTAGACCATAACATTGGCTAGGCATTCAGAGAGTAATGTAAGCAAAAGAAAAATAATATGCAAGAACTTGTCCTTGGTAAATGAGGCCTGGGTGGCTGTCATTTGATTTATGTACAGATACTAGATATAAAACATATTGCAATGAAATGAAAGGTTCTCCGGTGTAGGAGCAACGTCCAGAGCGATAAGCTTGAACCGGCTTTCGCTGATTATTTTCCTGTCGATAACATTGATACATTCACAACAAGCACATTTTATTCCTATAATAAAAACATTTCTTTTTATTTTCAAAACCAAAATTTTAGAAAAACATTAAGACGCAGAAATAAAACTTGGAACTCTTCTTGTTGCTCTATCACTCAGTATCTTTAACTGAAGTCTTGAAGGCCGAAGGTTTTGCTTATTGTTTTTATTTTCCTGACCATGTTTAGGTGAGCCACTGGTCAAGAATATTTTTCCCTATCAGTACTTTGCAGTATTACTTTCAATAAGTAGTTCAGGATGGGAAGATTCCCATTTTCCCATCCTTGAGAAAATAGGCAAGTAGTGCCTGTTTAGAGAGCCGGCTGGGCAAGAGCACTTGCTTCTGTAGTTCCTCGTAACCCGACTGACTCTTCCTGCTTCATTGGATCTATGTAAGCTAAGTTGAAACTTAATTTTAATGCATATTCATGATTGCTGTGAGGTGAAGTATTTCTTCAAATATATATATATATATATATATATATATATATATATATATATATATATATATATATATATATATATCAGCTTTATTTCTTTTGTGAAAAAAGAATATTTAAAGTCTCATAATCTGTTTCTGTTTCATGTTTGTAGTACATATAAGCCGTAGGACTTCATGGCTTACATTAATTTAAGTAACTTTAACTTTTAACACAACCACCACACAAAAAAGAATCGCTTACCTATGACGGGAGAGACACAGTTGTAGTATCTTTGTAGGTCACATTCTATCCCATTTCCTTAAAAATAACAAATGTAACGTCAGGAGGTTGTTTTGTTGTGGTCTTGTGCTGGGGACTGAACCAGGACACCGCTCATGTTGAGTAGGCACACTCCCACTAAGCCATCCCCGCCTCAGGATGTTACATTTTATAAATTTAACAGCCTAATGACAAAAGTCACCGTCACCTGTCGCTGCTCTCCATCCACCCATCCACCCAACCATTCATGCACCCGTTTGGACATTCAGCACTTTATAAGCATTGAGACATATTAAGAGTCAGTAAGAGTGTATGTTGGCAGGAAGGAAGATGTTTTTGTTTCCATCCTCTGCCTGTGTAATTCTAGAAGTCTTCAGTAGGAGCAGCACATACAATGTCTTTGGTATGATGAAAAAATAAAACCAAGCGGCTTCCGGGGTTGTCGCTTCACTCGACCCTGTTCTCAGTCCCGTGATGTGTGAATCAGTATTTCCCAGATGAAGAAACTAGCTTTCAGAAGGTGACTTATCCCGGCTTTGGCATGCGGGAGCACGGCACGTTCTGAGTCACTTCGGTCCTGCTCTGTCTGTCTGCCCTTCCGTCCATCCATCCATCCGTCCATCTGCCCTCCCGCCTGTCCTTTCATCTGTCTGTCCATCCGTCCATCTGTCCTGCCTCCCTGTGGTCTAGCTGTCTATCCACCCATCACACACTGTGGGGTTGCGGCTGCCTTGTGTCCACTGGGTTGGACTGGGGGCCTCCTAGGGGAGTGGGAAGCGCGCTTCTGGTACGTCTGGGGGGTCGCGGAGGCACAGCTTCATGTCCTTTCTTCTGGGGCACTGTCTCACCCACATTAATTATTCAGTTTGTACTTTATACAAATAATAAGCTTTTAAATCTTATGCCCATGTGGCATGATTCCTTTCAGCCTTGTGCCCTGTGACTTTGCCACAAGGACTCAGAGCCGTCATGAGCAGTGTTAGCTGCAGCTTTGTAGGATGCGGGACTAGAAACCGTCACCTCGGGTCTTGAAAGAGGGAAGTGAGGCAAAATTCCTGAGAGATACTCTGTAGGTAGGCAGCGTGTTACTAGGGAAGAGGTGACATTAAGATAGGTGTGAGAGGGACAGCCTGCAGTGGACTGTGGGGACGAGGGTTCAATCCGCCCCTGGGGTGCGCTGACAGAGCCGCTGAGACTGGCCGTGGTGGACTGGGCATGGTAGCATGTGTCTGCAATCCCAGCACTTGGGAGGCTGAAACGGGCGGATCGCTACTAGTCTGATCTGTGTAGTGAGACCCTGTAGACAATGTGCTAGACACTTAAAGGTAAGCATGAGGCGTTGTGAGCTTCTGAGAGAGAGGGAGCGAAGGCGCGGGGCTACCGGGACCCCAGCAGCAAACGCCAAACCCATTTGCCCGTGGCGGGAAGCACACTTTGGTAGAGAAGCTGCGCGTTGAGAGGAAGGGAACCTGGATAAGACCTCAGTTCCGACCCAGGCTCTATTCTGTGCTGGAAATGTTAAACCACTTCTGGACTTTGTAAGCACTTACAAACCTATCTGGGAGGACAACTGCAGGCAGGGGACGTCACCTGCGTGAGAAATGGCCACGCTGAGATGAGCCCTGGGTCTGACACCCCACGCCCGCCCCGCCAGCTCCCTCGAGCTGGCTCCTCTCTGCTGCCCTCTGGAGAGGTTTCCAGGTAGCTCTAAGCAAGCCGTGCAGTTGGGCGCAGTCACCCGCCCGTATCCCCAGCTACGGAGGAGGCCCAGAGAGGCCAGTCGTGCGGGTCTAGGAGATCGGCATCTGCCAGACCCAATCTCCGCAGAACAACGCAATAATGGAAGTAAGTAGATAGTGCTTCAGTGAGAAAGGAAACCTTAATGTGCATCGTTCAGCATCTGGGGCAACTGATTTCTAGCTTTAGACTTAGGAACAGAGGACCCAGCCTGTGGGCACAGTGTTCTCCAGAAATTTCTGCTGAGATGCTGAGATTTCAAATTTCCAAATTATCAGTTGAGAAAGGAAAAATAAAAGAAAAAAATGATGGGAAAAGAAGGATAAAATAGAAACGAAGCTTTCTTAAATGATGAAGGGAAGAGGGGCAGAAGGGAAGGGAGGGGAACGGGGAATAAGAGAATGGCGTTATGTCACATGCACATGCGAGCTCCCTACGAGAAATGCAACCGTTATGTACACCCAAAATGTACCAACGCACTTCATACATTAAAATTACCAACTGAGACATCTGGCAAGTAGCCAGTTTTTACAGACTACAGTTTTATGAGAATGAAAGCCCTTTTGATGACACCAGTTTCTTTGTTCCCAAGTCACCGTCGCCCTGGCGTTACCTGGAAGCATGAAGGGCAGGCACCGGCACAGCCGCTCTATGTGCCACGCCCTGCACTCCTTCAAGCAGCCGAAGGTGCTGTAGCTGCGGAAACTGCGCAACTTGACGTCAGGCCGGCACTCGCCCCAGGGGTGCTCCTGGTGAACCGTCTTAAGAGAAAAGACGCACTGCGCTCAGATTTCTGCCACGCAGG